GGGAACCAGTTTTGTTGCTAATGGTCAGCCACAGTGGAGTCATCCCAGGGAGGAAGGTGGCCCAGGGGCATCCTCTGTATTCACCCAGCTCAGGAACCAACAGATTCTCACCACAGAGCAGCGGGCAGGGCACCCGGGGCTGAAAAGGGGGAAGGTGACCCTGAGGAGCTGGGCAGGTCCAGGCAAACACACACTGGGGGTGCACCCAGCACATCCTGGGGCTGGGACACCTCAGGTATAGGGCAGAGAACCACAACGGGCGGGGCCAGTGCACAAAAGACACCGAAACAACCTCCAAGAGAAACCAGACCAGCAAGCAAAAATACCACAGCTTGACCTTTAATTATTTTTTTATAAAAAACCTCAAAACTGGCAAATGCCACCAGTCAAATGTCTTTTCCAGAGACACAACAGGATTCTTCTGTATTTTATTCCAAAATTGCACATTGCCCACATGACAAGCCCAGCTGGGGGATCCCTCCTGCCCCCAGGGGAGGCTCACCTTGCCGTAGGTGACCAGCAGCTCGGTGAGGAGCTGCTCCTGGCCAGCAGAGGCGCTCAGGATGCCATGCATATTCAGCTTCTCCACATATTCGTGCTGTCGAAGCCATCTGGGGGACAGCCAGCAAGGACATCTGTGCCACAGACCCCCACCCACAGGCTTGGGGGCCCTGCTGTGCTCCCGAGGGTCCCTTGTGCAGGGAAACCTGCTCTGGGAACCTCCAAAATCCTCTGCTGTGCTCTGAGCCTCTAGTCCCTGGGGCAGCAGCTCCACAGGGGGCAGCCCTGCTCTCCCACCTGGTCCCCAGCAACACCCTCACTAGGGACACCACAGGACAGAGGGACCCCTCTCCATCACCCCTTCCCACACAGAGCCTCTGGGGACACCCTAGATCTGGGACTCTGGCCCTCCTCTACCTGGACCCCCCCAATCTGTCAGTCCTTTCAGGAAGGCTCCAGAATCATGACCCATCCTGTCCCCCAATCCCACACAGACCCTCTGGGGACACTCCAGATCCGTGACCCTTCCTCACCCTCCTCCTCCTGAACCCTCCGATCCTCCCCAGTCCTTCCAGGAAGGCTCCAGAACTGCAGCCACTTCTCTCCCCTCACCCCACCCTCACCCTCTGGGCTCACCTTAAAACCAGAACCCCTCCTCTCTGCTCTAAACCTTCTGGCAACCTCCTTTACCCCCACCATGACCCTCTGTGGGGGGGCAGGGGGAGCAAAACTGGAATCCCTCCTCTCCCCCAAGAGGACCTCCTCCCCGAAATTTAAAGCCCCTCTTTCACAGGACCCTGTCCCCGCACCCCTGCCCGCCGGTGTCCCGCAGCTCGGTGCCCTGCAGCGCCCGCACCAGCGCCTCAGCCTCGGCGGGCGGCAGCGGGGCGGCCATGGCGGCCATGGCGTCCGAGCGGTCGCTATGGCAACGGCGGCGCGGCGCGGCCTGTGCCGCCCCCTGGCGGCGCGGAGGAACGGGGGGACACGCGGGGGACACGCGGGGGACACGCGCGGCGTGAGGGACGCGGGGGGTCCGGTGCGGGCCTCCCCCGCTGTCACTTCCAGCACACGATGATGTTGGGGTCGTTCTCCAGGCGCTCGTCCAGCTCCTTGTAACTCATGCCTGGAGGGGAAGGCAGTGTGTGTCAGTGGGGTGCCAGGCACTGGTGCTGGAGGGCTGGGTGGGCTCCACAGGCCTGGCCCTGGTACCACGGGCTCGGCAGCCTGGCTTGGCACAGCGCCTCACCCACAGTCCCGGCTCCCTGTGGTCTGAGGGCTCCCAAAGGGTGAGATCCCCAGACCAGCACACAGCCCTGGGCAGACAGATCTTCCTGTGTCACCCACCAGCCCCGGGGCCCGTGTGGAGCCCAGATCCCTACCGGTCTTGCAGCAGATCTCGTCGTAGCTGTGACAGCCTGTGTACAGCCGGGCCGGGTGGCTCCGCTCGTCCCGCGCGACCTTCACAGGGTATTTCTGGAGCCTCCGGATAAGGCCCTTCATCAAACCAAACTGGATAAGCCTCCTGCGGGCAAGGAGAGAAGGCACTGGGACCAAACACCCCGGCTCCCTGCAATCCCTTCTGGTTCCACTGTGCCCCGTGCTTCCTACCCTACAGATGGAGGGGTTGGCTACTCCCTGCTCGCTCCCCCACACTGTCCCTGCCACCCCATGTGTAACCCCTGCCCTTGGGGACTGGGCAGGAAGGTTCTGACCTCTCGTCTACCCTCTGGAGCTGCACGGTGTAGCGGGAGATGAGGTCTCTCACAGTGGTGCCAGGGCTGAGCCCGCAGTACAGCTGGAAGACATCCCTGAGGCTGGCTCGCTTGTGCCCTGCGGGGACAAGTCACTAGTCAGCTGCCCCGTCCCGCTGCATGACCCTCTGTCCACCAGCAGTCCCAGGTGGGGTCACTGTACCTTGTTTGGTGACATAGGACAGACACTCTTCCTGGAGACACTTGTCATCCACCAGGTCCTGGACCTTCGGAGTGGTGCAGTAGACATTGGAGTACTGGAGGGTGAGGAAAAACCAGCTCTGTTCAGCTGTGACTCCAAGAGACAGACCCAGCCCACTCCCACCCGTTTGTCCCCCAAACCCAGCCACCCCAATGGCCCAAATCCTGCTCACAGTACCATGGCCTGACCCACCTGGAGTATGGAGACGAGCGTGACGACCCCATAGTACCTGCAGATGGACAGGGAGATGTAAGAGACCCTCTCTGCCAGCTCCCACCCCCTTCCTTGGGCTGTCCAGGCCCCTCCAGGCACTCACAGCAGGTTCTGCACTGCAATCCGCACCAGGTTCAGCTCCACGTCGGCTTCCGCGGAAATCTTCTGGACGTGCCGAAAGCCGTCTATGTAGGGCAGGATCTGGGAGGGGAGGAGGCAAGATCCAAGAGGCGAGAGATCAGAGAGGCTCAAGACATCACCCTGAAGCCCAAGAAGCTCCTCTGCCTCTCTGGGCAGACTCCATCCCCAGCAGCGCTTTATCCTCGTGCTGGGTGAACGGTTTGCTCGCAGCACCAAGACCAGAGGGGCACCAAACTGTGCTCATTATTGTGGTGATCTCCAGGACAGCCCAACCGCCCAGACAGCCTGGAAACAGCTCCCTTTCAAAGCCTGCTGCCATGGTAAAGCACACAGACCTGCTGCGTGGTGAGATCCCACTGGGAGTTGAAGAAGTCATCCTTGTCTTGGGTGAAGACGGGGACATCGTACTCCTGCACGATGGGGGGGTCCGGGCGCTGCTCAATCACCTTCAGGTGGATGGTGTTGGACTCATCTACCCAGGAAAAGAGGAATGCTCAATCCCCATGGAAACCTGTGCTCTGACTATCAGCCCCAGGACACCATAATGCCATGTGGAACGAGGTGTTTACAGCCCATTAACCCCCTCCCACCCATCCCTCTGAGCCACCCAGGGCAAGGCTGGCTCAGACACCCCCAGCTCCAAGCACAGACAGGCAGGGAGCTGCTGGGAGCAGCACAGGCCCAGCAGACCCAGGTAGGGGATGGCCCAGCTGCCCCCCAGCACAGCTCCCATACCTATGGGCAGGGTGCACTTCCCTTTGGCATTCAGCTCCTCCAGCAGGATGGTCATGATGGGGACCAGCTTCTGTTTGCTCTCCTCGTTGGAGATGAAGCCACTTTCCAGCTATAAAGAGCAGAAAACCGAGTCAGCTCCTCCAGCAGGCTATAGGAACCTGGATCCTGTTCTCCATGGAAATTCAAGTGATCTTGAAGTTGGTAAAACCAGTACAACACCCTTCTCACTGTTAACCTGGCCCCTATCCCAGCAAGGCCCAGTGCCCCAGGATGTGCTCCAGGACACCAGTGGGGTGTCCACAGCCTGTGGGGAGGAGCGGGAGGTAGCCAGGCTCAGGTCTCACCTCGAGGGTGGTGAGGTAGCCAGCCAGCTTCTTCACAATGGGCTCCAGGGCACAGGCCTTGGCTCTGGCATCACACACAAAGCCCAGGTTGAAGAGCAGAGCGTTCCTGCTGTACTTCTTGTGCTCGATGCACACGGGGCAGCCGATCAGCTTCTTCTCCATGGCCGTCCTACAGGAAGACACATAAAACCTGCACCTACAGCCTTGGGGAGAGCTGAGCCCTGCACAAGGACAGCTCCTGGTCGGCTGTGGAGGTGGGGGCTTCTCTTGTTTGCAGAAAAATCATGGCTAATCCACCCATGCTAAGAGCGCAAAATACAGTCTGAAGGAGGGGAGAAAAGAGTCACTCATCGGAGAAGACAACAGTTTCCTTACAAAACCAGCACAGCTCTCCTGACTCGTTTGGCTTCCCTGGATTTGAGGCTGACGGAGCAGCACACCCCCAAATCAGACACTCACGCCCTGCACGGGTACCTGCGGGCATGGCAGTGAACCTGCTGGCCATGGGGACAGCACCCCCCGAGACCTGGCACTGTCACAGCACCGCGGTGTCACGCCCACCCAGCGGGGAAGGGACGGGGGGTCTTCACTCACACAGTGATCAGCTTGTTCTGCAGCTCGGGCTTGGTGATCACGTACACCTGGATGGTGTCGAACAGCTCGCGGGAGATGAAATCCTCCGGCACCTGCGGGGGCACAGGAGTCTCCGTACCAGCCGAGCCCCGGGGAGCAGCCGCCACCGCTGGCCCTGTGCTCCCTTCTCCCCCACGCGCGCTCCCGTGCCCCAGCCCCAGACGCCCCGCACCTGGTAGGTGATCTTGGGCCCCAGCGTGGGGTGGAACTCGCTGAAGAACACGCACTCGATCCGCCCACCCATGGCGGGGCCCAAGCGCAGAGCAGCGAACAGCCCAAACCCGCCGGCCACCGTAGTGGGGCTGCGATCACGCGGTTGAGCAGCCGGGGGCGGGGCCTCGCCCCTGAGGGACAGCTCCTCCCGCCACTCAGCAGCGGCGCAGGGCGGGGAGGGCGGGCCCTGGCGCTGACGGACAGCTCGGCTCGGCCAATGGCGGTCCGCGCCGCGGCCCGGCAGTGTCGGGGCGGCCGCTCCGCCCGCCCGGCCAACATGGCCCTGACGGCCGAGACCGAGTCCCGCCTGTACCGCTCGCTCCGCGTCGCCTCTGGCGCCGCCGCGCACCTCGTGGCGCTGAGCTTCCCCATCGCCGTGGCCGTGCTGGCCCGGCCCGGATCCAGTGAGTGCCGCGGGGCCGGGAGCGGGACGCCGGGGGGGCGGCCGGGCCAGACCTCCCCGCTCACCTCACCCTGCCCTTCCCTTGCAGGTCTGTTCTCCTGGCACCCGCTGCTCATGGCGCTCGCGGTAAGTCCCACCGCCCCGGGCACCGTGGCAAAGGCAGGGGCCGGTGGAGTCCCTGGGCGGTGCGTGGCGGAGCCCCGGGAACCCCCGGGAATCCCCGGGAGCCGGGGAGCCGAGCCCCGGTTTCCTTGGAGGAGGGGCGGCTGCTCGGCCGGTGCCAACCCTGCTGCCCTCTGTCTTCCCAGTTCTCGTTCCTGATGACGGAGGCGCTGCTGATCTTCTCCCCGGAGACCTCGCTGCTGCGCTCCTTCTCCCGCAAGGTGCGAGTGCGGGCGCACTGGGCGCTGCAGCTGCTCGCCCTGCTCTGCGCGCTCCTGGGGCTGGGAATCATCACCTACAACAAGCACCTGAACGGCAAGGGCCACTTCGTCACCTGGCACGGGCTGACGGGGCTGCTGGCCGTGCTGTACGCGGGCGGGCAGTGCGCCGGGGGCGTGCTCCTGCTCTACCCCAAGCTGATGAAGAACTGGACGCTGGCCAAGCTCAAGCTGTACCACGCCACCTCCGGGCTGGTGGGCTACCTGCTGGGCTGTGCCAGCCTCATGCTGGGCATGTGCTCGCTGTGGTTCACCACGGTGGTGACTGGTGTCTCCTGGTATCTGGCTATGCTGTGCCCCCTCCTCACCAGCCTGGTGATCATGAACCAGGTGAGCAACGCGTACCTGTACCGCAAGCGGAGCCAGCACTGAGGGCCTGGCGCACAACCAAACCCCCTGAGTGAGCTGGCGAGGCCCCCCCTCCTCGCACGGGGTCTTCTTGGAACTTTGTTTCTACTTTCTTGTCTCTCGTTAGTCCTGGATTGTCCTTAGTGTCAGCTACAATGTGTGTGTGTGACACCTCACACCCGCCCCGGTGGGGACGTTTCCCAGCACAGGTGAAGCTGCTGTCCCTGCAGCAGTTGGTGCTCAGTGGTGGGAAATGGAGGATTCGCTCAGGATTCCTGCTCCTTTCCCATTCCCACAGAAGGGCTGCTTTGGAGCAGGCAGGACGGGAGCCATCCTGGTGAGGAGGGCAGGGAAGTCCCCTCTCTCTCTCCTGGGAGGCTGCAGTGGGCACCACACTGCTTCTCCTGCCACGGGGGCAGCTTGGCTAGGAAAGCACAGGGCACGGTTATGGCTTTGGCCCTGGGAGGGCTGGGGAAGGGTGGTGACACCTGAGGACACGGTACAGGAGGGTACAGGAGCACGTCTGTCCTAATGGCACGAGGGCTCCCTGGGACCAGAGCAGCCAGCCCTGACCTGAGGTCACAGGTCTGGGCACTTGCTGCCACGCACAAACCCCTCCCCAGGCTGGGGCAGGACAGCCTCGGCTTGTTGGGGTGGGGTCAGTTTACAAAGCAAATGACTGAGCCAGGCTGTGAACCTGCAGCCAGCAAAGGCGTTTTGTCCTTTGGAGGGACACAGGGAACAGTGTGAGCAGGGGGGAGGCACAGGCCTGGGGGATGAGCCCTTGGCAGGGCAGGAAGTGACCTCCTTGCTGACACAACCACCTTTCTCCCAGCCTGCCCACCATCGGGGCTGCTGTGAGGCTCTGTCTGCAACTCCTCAGCACGCATCCTGCTCCCGGCAGGGCTGGAGAGCTGGGAGCGGCTCCCAGGCTGAAAAATTCCTCTGTATCCAGAGCTTTTATTCAATAAAAATTTCAGGCAGCTACAGTGCAACAAGCCCTCTTTACTGCTGGGGGGGGGGGGGGGGAGGAAACATGACTTTTGGGATGCTGGCACACTTTCCCCCCTGGAGATTTCCCACCTCCTCCTTTCAAAGGGTCTGTTCCAATGTGCTGGAAGGACCTGGGAAGAAACCCCCCTGCCCAGGCTCCTGGCAAGAGCTCCGGGGGCTGCTCTGGGCCAGGCCCCTGCCTTGCCCATGCTCTGCTACAGAAGCCAACTCTTTCAAAGAACTCTTTATTGATACCCAAATGTCTGTGTTCTTCCCGTTTGACAAAACCTTCTCGTGTGGTCCTTTAAAAAAATAGTAACGACACTGCTGACCTGCATAATGGGCTGGGAATTGCCCACTGGATCAGGAGCTGTGAGGAGGCTGTCACAGGGAGCATCCTCTCCATCCAGGGAAAAAAAATCCCCACCAACACAGAGGGAGGGAAAGAGAAGGGGGGAGCCCATATTCTACCTGCAGGAAAGAAAACCTGCTGCTGGAGGAAGCAGCGAGAGCCCCACCATAAAAATTTAATTCCAGCTTCTAGTGTAATCTGACAAACGGATTAGCCGGGGAGCAGTCAAGGGCACTGGCTCCTCGCAGGGGAGGGGGGCAGGAGAGGGAGGAGCAGAGAATTCCCACCGCAGAAAGCCTGGAGCTGGCAGTGCTGGACCACTGCTGTGAGGGGCTGGGCGGCCCCTTCCTGACCAGTGGCCTGTCCCCCCCTGCCCAACTTCTCACCGGTCCCAGCAAACTGCTGCCAGGGTGGGGGGAGGCTCCCCAAGGGAAAGACATCTGGAAAAGAAACCCACCAGCCTTCCCATTCCCTCAGTTCGGGACAAAACTACCTTCAAAAGGGAGGAAATAAGTGTTGAGTGCTCTGGCCAAGCCCTGGCACAGAGGAGAAGCTGACTTCTATCCCACAAGGGCGAGCACAGCGGCTTTGGGGTCGGGATCAGCCCCGTGTCCCCGTCCTGGGACAGCCCCCGCTGCCTGCGCCGACTCCACGGCCTTGCCCGCGCCGAGGGGAGTGGCTCCAGCAATCCCTGTCCTCGCGGTGGCGGCAGTGTCACCGTCCCGGGTGCCTGGTACTGGCCTCGAGCAGCAGCAAAGCGTTGCTGGAATGAGGTGTCCCCCTGCCTGTGTCACGGGAGGAGTCCCCGCTCCCAGCGGTGCGGGATACAAGGGGGATTAGCAGCTCTCCAAGGGAGACAGGGCGGGAAGGGGGCCGGTCACAGCTGGGCCGGGGCATCCTGGAAGCTGATGAGGTTGGACTCCTGGCCGGGGCTCTTGCCGGCCGCGCCGGGGTCGGGCAGCAGGGGGGTGTCAGCCTTGGCCGCCGCTGCCTCCTCCTCCTCATCCTCCATGCTGGGCCAGGCCGACTGGTCCTCCACGCGCTTCAGCCGCTCGTTCAGGGCCTTCAGGGCCAGCTGCCTGCGGGGCAAGGGACACCTGGTTAACCCCGGGTCCAAGGGGCAGGGCAGGGGCTGACAGCTCTGCCCCACAGGGCACTGTGTGAGCCTGGCCCTGGCTCCTTCCCAGCAGGAAAGGGTGGATTCAGCAGCACTGGGGATGACCCGGAGTGCCCAGGACTGCTCCATAGACACTCAGTCAGACTCCCAGACTACACACACGGAGTTCTTGCACCACGTGGTGCCCTCAGAGGCTGTCAGGGGCTGCTCTAGGAATGGGGAACAGAAGCATAAAACAGGGCAACGAAAAGGGAATGCCAACGCCTTGTCCAAACCCTCCTGTTGGGAGTCAGGAGGGCAATGCCGGGTGTGCGGGAAGGTTGGGGCGTGGGGCTGACTCACTGCCTTCCCCTGTGCTGGGGGGGTGCAAGACTGCCATGAGCTGGGGCTGGCACCTCCCCAGGCCGTCCCCCTTCCTTCTGCAGGGACCCCAAACCCTGCCTGGCCCTTCCCCAGCATCTCCCCACTGCTCCACATCTTAAAGAGCAGGATAACATCCCACCAGCCCCCTGAAATGCTCCTCACCACCTCCGTGGCAGGGCAGACCACATGCAGACGGTCCCTGCTTAGCAACCTGCACCTAAACCTCCCCTCTCCTCCTTGTTCGGATTTTAACCCGACCCTCGCTGTCCCTAAACACACGACCCCCACAGGAGCAGGGCGGGTGATACCTTCTCCTCTCGGCGTCCTGGGGGTCCGTGCCCGGCAGGCTGATGGTGATGGAGGACGGGGCGCCCACGTCGTAGCGCTTGACAGTCTTGCGACACACCCTCACCTTCACCAGGACGCCGTGCACCAGGTTGGCCACCAGACCCACCACGGGCTGAAGGATCTCGGGGAAGAAAGTGGCGAAGGCGAAGTGGTCAGACATGTCTCCGCGGCCTCTACTGTGCCGCTGGTAGAAGCGGAGATAGACCCAGCTGGAGAGGAGCCCGAAGCCGTACGAGGCCAGTACATTGCTCTCGACGAGGGCAGCGAGCCGCAGCAGAGCCAGAAGGAGGAGCAGGAGCATGGGGACAGCCTTCATCCTGACCTGAGGCACCTTCAGCACGGTGCTGTCTCCCATCGTCTGCTTGAGGGCCACCAGGACCCCGCCGAGGAAGCCCAGCCCGCCGTGGATGCGCACGGCGAACAGGTAGCCGGGGTGGAAGGAGGCCATGTAGGTGAGGAAGTAGGCGAGGGCCGCCAGGAGCCCCACGGAGATGTTCACCACGGCGAAGAAGACGAGCAGCTCCAGGGCTCCCCAGAGGGGCTCCAGCAGCCGCCCCGCCGCCCCCAGCGTGGCCAGCGCGGCCGCCAGCCCCCAGGCGCGCTCCTCCACCAGCCCGTGCGTCAGCAGCGTCCACACCCAGAAGTTGGGGGGCAGCAGGTAGCCCGGCGTCACCGCCAGCCCGTAGGCCGTGTCCAGCCCGAAGGAGAGCAGGTACAGCAGCACCGCGGCCGCGCTCAGCGACTTCACCACCACGCTGGTGCCGGCCAGTGCCGCCAGGAAGTGCTGCCGGGCCACCGGCAGGTACCGCCGCATCTTCGGCCCCGCGGGAGGCACGGGGCGGCCCCGCGGGGGCTGCCCGGCCCCCCACCCCGCCCGCTTCCCCCCCTTGCCGCCCGCTGCCGGTGCTGGTGGTGCCGGTGCTGGTGGTGCCGCCGCTGCCGCTCCGCCCGGGCCGGGCCGCGCTCGGCCCCGCTGCTGGGACAGGCCGGGCGCGGACAAACAGCGCGCTTGCGCCTGCGCCTGCGTGGGGGCGCGTGCGACTGGGCGGGGCCGCGCCTCGGGGGCGGGGCCGGGGCGCCGCGGGGCACGTCGGGATTTGTAGTCCAGTAACGTGGGGGAACACGGACATGGTGGGGGGATCAGGACACGGGGCACATGGAGGGACACGGCTACGAGGGACACGGGACAAACGGCCGGGAGGATACGGACACTGGGGGGACATGGGACAAACAGCTCGGGCAACATGGTAACAGGGGTGACACAGACGTCAGGGGACACGGGACAAATGGCTGGGAGGGACGTGGATGGGGAGGGGACACGGACACGAGTGGACATGGACGCGGGGGGGGGCACGGGACAAGCAGCTCGTGCGGGATGGACATGAAGGTGACACGGACATCAGGGGACATGAGACAGACGGGAGGGTCATGGACACAGAGGGACACGGGACAAACGGCTGGGGACACGCGGACAAGGGGGGACACGGGGGAGAGGGGTGGCAGAACACGGGTATGGGGCCGTGAGGGGGACAGTCATGGGGAGGTGGACACGGCGGGCACAAACCCTGGGAGGAGGGGATGTGGACACGGGTGGGCTGTGCACAGGGGGCACTTAGGGACACTGAACCCACGGGACAGGGATGTGGGGACACAGACACGGGGACGTGGGAGTGGAATGGGGAGAGGGGACAAGGGTATTTGGGGAAGGGGCAACACAGTCCTGAGGGGACACAGGGAGATGGAGGATCCCAGGGGGAGTTGGGGAGGGGCTGAGCCCCTGCTGCCCCCCAGCCCCTCCTGTGCAGCGTGCGGGGCTCTGCGAACCCACAGCTCTGCTGTGCCCAAATCCCTGCCCATCAGTCTCACAGAGGTGCAGCAGGTGTGAAGGCAGCAGCCTCCCAAATATCCTGTGCCACCCCACCTTCTGTGCCCCCCCTGGCTGTGCCCACCCCATCCCAGGTAATGATGCAGCCACCACCTGTGAAGTGAAAATATGAACATTATTTAATAACTGAGTCTCTGTAATAAACCATTTGAAAATATTTTACAAGGAGTCACACGCACGATATCTTACAAATTG